TATATGAAGAATAATTAGTAAATACAACCAGAATGACGCATTCAGTGGGCTACGCCCTCCGGGGTGTTAAAAGAAAAAAAAAAGCATTTATCGGGCGACTTAGCTATAAACTCGGTCACAGGCTTACAGAAAATGTTCACATCAGCTTGGCTTTCAGAAAATCTTTGGGGTCATAAATAAACGTCTCTAAATACTGTTTTTAGTTACTTAAATAATATCTGATCTATTTAATACTATGCCGGTGCACAGAGGGTCAATGGAATTTAACTGCAGTTTGAAAACAGGCAGACGTGTCCAATATTAGCATTTACGGGACGTGGCACAACAGAAAGTTACTAGATTTATGCTTCTAAGGGTGTTAGGATTAAATTTTGAACTTAACTGGCATTTTTTTTTTCACTTCAATATGTCACGTCTTGAATCATTGAATCCTTCACATAGATGCTCAAAGGAATTGAATCAGTGGGAGTGTTTGTTGGAGTATGCTAATTCTAGAGGCAATGTCATCCCAGAATTGATTCTAGACTGTGCCTGGAGAGTACCAAACTGGCCTCTAATGAAAGATGCCCTCAGCAGAGTAAGCTGGAACCTTTTTTTATGTTTATTTTACTTTTGAATTATATTTGTTTTTTAAATAAAAGTGTATAATTTTTCTTTACCTATTTGTTTGATTTTGATGTTCATTTAATTAATTTTCAGAAGTTTATTTGTAGGCATAACCCATTAGTAAGAGCGTATATTAGGTTCTACACAGTTTTAATAAGTAAATAGTTTACATACATTGTTACACAGTGGATACGTGGTTATTTGTAGGCATAAATAAAAATTACACCTTTAATGAGTTGTCTTCTTTTTTTTTCGTTTCCTCTTTTAATGCTTTAGGTGTAAAAGGAGATACAAGGTGTTTTTTTTTTGTCCACTTCTGGCTGCCTTGATCATAGAAATTGTACTGTTGTAGAGTTTCTCTGATGTTATCTTTATCTTGCTTTTGGTCTCTCTAATGCTGTACATCAGGGCTGTTCAACTAGGTTGACTCAGTTGCCAGAATTTTGAAACTGGGGATCGTCACGGACCAAAGATCCGAGCCCAGCATAGAAAGATCATTAATTCAGTGTAACTGGCAATGGTCTTGACCGAATTACTGATCCATGTATGTAATCTGCAGTACCAGTTTCATCTGTGTTTTCATGTGAAAACTGTTTTAGTGGGTGCCTTGATTGGTATGGAATCGCAAGGCATTCTCTCGAAGTTATTGGGTCTGTGCCGACTTTTATGGCTTCATTCCTAATTCACTGCTGCAACCTTTCTCATACATCTCTGTGGTTGCCATTTTTCTTTCCTGGTTTGTGGGTCGCCTTGTCTGGCACTGTTAATAAGGGGGATGACTATGCTTTTATATGGGTTCTTTCTTTGTGCTGATTGGGACCGTCTCATGCTGTCCCACTAATAATTTAATAGGTACCAAGCTAAATATAAACTTCATAAGTTATTTGTGTGGACAGTTTTTTCCTGTCCTGCATGATGATGTTTCTGCATAAAAAAGATAGTCCACTGGATTTGTTAATAAAGTTTCTTGTATACAATTTGATTTCATTTCAGGTTGAGAGCAACTTCAAGAGAGAGATGCAGTGGAAAATCAACTTGTACAGAGGCTATCTAGCTATTTGCCACTCAGATGACCACCATCTCAACCCACAACAGGTGTGTGTTTTCTTTATATTTGTCTCGTTGTTTCACTGCTTAGTTTTTACTAATTACTCATCTCTTATCACATTTTTTAATAGATTTTTTGTCAAACTATTTGATTGCTCCATTACATCTCTCTCCACTTTCTGAATCCCTTTTTTTTTTAAATTAAAATCTCTTAAAGCTTTAACTTTTGAAAACTTTATATTTTTTGAAAGTATTTTTTAGTTTAGGATGGAAAAGGAATTATTGTTGTGTTTGCTGTTTATTTTTCCAACAAAATTACATACTTCTTAATTGTTTTACTCCTAGATTGAGCGCTTAGTCGAGACATGCGGTAACCAGGTTATCAAAGAATGGCGGCGTCTTCCACACATTGTTTCACATATACATGTGCAGTATCTTCAGGTTTGTAATAAAACAAGAAAGAAAGTGTGTGTGTGTCCGTGCTTGCATTCATTTGCTTGTTCAGTCATTAAGTTGATGCAAACTTTTAATACATTTATAGTTCGTTTACTTTAGAAATTTGGTCTTTGTCATTGTGTTTACGTGTTTTCGTAAAAGTGATTGTCAAAGTCTATGTATTTAGTACATGTTGTATAATCAGCATGTAAATTTAAAAATTATACTATGTAAGTATAATAGTTTGCATATGAATTGTATGAAGATGTTTAAGCTGGCGTTTGTGTTTCTACGTAACTACAGTATTCTCTAAATGTGCATTACAAAGAAGATTGTCATCTTGCAGGCTGCCCAGATGATCATGGAGCTACAGGAAGCTGCTCAGATCAACCAAGGACTGCAGCCAGCAAATATAACACGTACCGCCAGTGTTCACGACATGAAAGCTATTGTGAAAACATGGAAGTATGTTGGCCTGCTCGGTCTTGTCTGTCTGTATGACTCTCATCTTTGCCACTATCTTTTTATCTCTTTGTGTTTATCTGTACTGTCCTTGCCTATCTCTGCATAGCTCCTCTCTCTCTCTCTCTCTCTCTCTCTCTCTCTCTCTCTCTCTCTCTCTCTCTCTCTCTCTCTCTCTCTCTCTCTCTCTCTCTCTCTCTCTCTCTCTCTCTCTCTCTCTCTCTCTCCCTCTCTCTCTCTCTCCCCTCTCTCTCTCTCTCTCTCTCTCTCCCTCTCTCTCTCTCTCTCTCTCTCTCCCTCTCTCTCTCTCTCTCTCTCTCTCTCTCTCTCTCTCTCTCTCTCTCTCTCTCTCTCTCTCTCTCTCTCTCCCACTCCACTCCACTCACTTTTTGTCACATTTATATATACACCTAGATGCATTCATATTTTGTAATAGACCATTAGGGAACAATTACACACATATGCAGGCTGCCAGTGGCATTGTATTTCATGGAAACAAAAACAAAATACAGGGAGGGGTTCCTTAAGAGACCGGCAATTAAAAGATTGGGGTTTGCATTTTGGCCTCATTAAATGAAAAGACAGCCCTTTTTATGAAAAACATAATTAAGAGAGAGAAAAATAAAGGCAAATGAGCAAAATGTAGACCGTTATAAAAGAGGATGGGAAGAGATGGATGAACTTGAGATACTTGAGAAAAACCTATTATAGACCTTTAGGATCTATTAATCTAGTTATAATAAAGATGTTATTCTGTTATTTCTATGTTATTCTGTTTTTTACTTTTTAAAAAGAAACCTAAAAGTGTATTGACTATTCCAGAAACCGCCTGCCAATGATATCTGATGACCTTTCACACTGGAGTGATATTTTCACTTGGAGACAGCATCATTACCAGTTCATCATCCAACATTATGAGAGCCAGGTCCCAGCTGAGAATGTGAGTATTTTGCATTTTAAATTAATATCGACTCCCTAATGAATACATATTTTACAATATTTAATAAGGCTATAAATATATAAATATATAGCTTCTAATTTCTGCTGCTTGCTAGGGATTATTAATACATGGTTGGTCGCAGAGATCGTCATTGTACAGATGTGCAGGGACAACCACTGCACAGGTGGGCAGGGGCAGTTATTATACGGTAAGGCAGAAACAAGCAGTGAACTAGAAAACAAAGATGACCACACAAGAATGAGATGGCAGTGTCCAATGAAACTAATTGGGAAGGCCAACCTGGGCAACACATAATTGCAGGAGTCGGATGTGTCGGTCAAAAGCGCAGGTATCGCAGCTAGGTTGTAAATGGGCACAAGGTATTTACATTTTTGGATACATGCGGAAGAAGAAGATGTTTTAAAGTATCCTTTAGGTTATGTGTGCTTCTTTTTCTTCTTCTACGATCATCTTTCCTGCTAATGCAACTATGCATTCTTGATTCTGTCAGTCATAGCCACATGTAATTATTGATTTGTTTCCTTATGCCCCGGGTTCGATCCCAGCTGCGGGCCATGCGCTTTGCGTTGGTTTTGACAGTGGTATCAAAGAAGCTGGCCGTCCATAAAGCAATGGCAAACTACTGGATGTAAATTTGCCTAGAAAAACCACACAACAGCCAGGGGCTGTTGGGGTTGGTTCTGTAATGTCCTGTGAAGGATACGTAACTAACCTTTTTTTCCTTATACCAGAGGTGATCATTTGTACAGTATTATGTTTTCTTTACTCAGTCCGTGTGTTACGTAGAGGCCAGCTAATCACCCCTGTTGTTTCTGCATATTCATTATGTTGTGTTTTCAACTAGGCTGTGATATTCTGTGCCTTTCGACCAAACACATGTGGCCTCAATAAATCCTTAATGAGTTGCCCTTTACAACGTGCTTGTCAGAGTGCGATAGGTGTGTTTTTTTTCCTCCTCTCTGAATGGGGCCCTGGAACCCATACTGGGAAGTTTGGTGTATTTTAGATCTATCATATGTGGGGAAACAAAAAGAGGAAAAACTATTTGCTAGAAACTAAATGTACACATTTATTTTTCGTTGCATTCTTCGTGTTATGGTCTCATTTCTTATCAAATAGAACACCAACTCTATGCTGGGTGTGCATGCAATTGCTCAGTCAATTATCCACTTTGGCAAAATTGCTCGCAAGCATGGCCTGATTGGAGTCAGCCTTGACACTTTGAGCAGGTAAATAAAATATTGTCATGTAAACTGTTTTTGTAGATTTTAATGCTTCCACTTTGCTCAGCTTTGTGTCAGTAGTTCTTCTTTATGTTAGCTGACTTGAGTAGCTTAGTTGTCCTAATTGCATTGCGATTTTGCCTTGTCATTCTTTAAAAACTGTGGCTGTTGTGGTTTCTTTTGTATTGTGGGTATTTTCTCCAATTTCTGTGAATAAACTGAAGAGCTGAAATGAAATGTCTGGGTCAGTTTTGTGGCAGGGATAGATGTTGACTGGCAGTTGCCATATTTTAGCAGCTAGAAGCTCACCTGCGGATTGGAAGGTTGTGGGTTCAGGTCCTTAGGGAGTGGGAATTTTTAAAAAATGACTTTGGCTGCGAGGTCGACCCAGCCTTCAGTGGGTATGAGATGCATTCCTGGGAAGTAAAGGTGGCTGGCATTGTGCTGCCTGCATCACCCACCAAGTGCCGATTGGTCTATAAAATATACATCTTGCGCTATATGCCCAATATGCCTGAAGGTGTGAAAAAAGGGTCCTTTACTTTACTTACTTTATAGATGCTGACTGCCAGCATCTTACTGGGACTTTTGTAGGAAGCAAAGAATAGTAGCACTGTAACATACCAAGCTTGTCATAAGAGGTGACTGAGGGAGCTTGGGGCTGGTTACCTCATCCTGTATTAAGCCAGTCAATTAAAAACTATGGAGCTGCCCCGGGGGGATGGCTGAGGGCTTTTGCTCTAGTGTAGATAAAACACTTAAGAAGAAGACAAAAATTCATTCGTGCCTAGTTATAGATGGTCACTCTTTCCATCCCCCTATAAGGTCATAGTTGATACCCCTACAAGTCAATTGTGAAATCAGCAAAATAATGGGTATACTGTATCAGCATGACCCAAATACACATCCTTTGTACCTTTATGGGAGAAAAATATGTTTGTGAGGTTTTTGGTTTTTTTTTGCATTCCTGATTAAACATAAAATGTACAAGCATAATATAATATATTAACTAGTCCATAAGAATAAATCCAGTCACACACATGGTGTGTTTATGACTGAAAGCACAATGTAAAGACCGTGAAACACATTACATGCTCAACTGTCATTGTCTTCACAGAATACACAATATAGCCAGTGTGCCGGTTGTTGACTGCTTCCAGAAGGTCAGGCAGCAGGTCAAGTGCTACATGTACATGGGAAACTCTTTGAGCAAAAATGAATTCTCAGAGGTGAGTCAGGTGTATATCTTACCCTGTGAAGCAGAGTAGTTGTTATAGGGATGCGTTGATATCGGTTCTTAAAACTTAACTCCCCTCAACTGGGCCAGAATGTAGAGTATTTACTACTTTTATGGTGTGATTCTCTTAAATCACATGGCTTGGGACAACCTACGCCACTTCTGACTGATAGATACCTTTGTCTACCATGGTAAGTTTGATAACTGTTTTTTTTGGGGGGGGGGGGGGGGGGGGGGGGGGGGGGGGGCAGCTCTTTGCTACCAGTGTAAAACTTGAATGCTTACCATGAATAATGAGTGAAGAACAACAGATGAGATGTCTTAGGAGAGCTGACTGGAGTCATAAAAGAAAAATGAAGAAATTACAAGAAGACCAATATTAAAACATAAAAGCAGAGGACCCTCTTCCATGCCTTCAGGTGTATTGGAATGATGATATACAGAACAGCCTAAAGAAGACCCACTTAAATACGTTATCAAGAGGCACAAATTAATCTCCATACTTCTTGAGTTAACCCCCCCCCCCCCACCCCCACCACCACCACCACCATCCTAATCCAAGCCGGAGAACCACCAGTCTCTCTCTCTTTGTCCATTTTCTGCCCTTTGACCTATCTGGCTTTGGAGACCATACTACTTCCAGCATAGGTCTCAGGGTCATTGAGAAACTCAAAATCACCCATCACACCAGAATGGAGACACATAGTAAAGATCATTACATAAGAAAATATTACATGCCAGCTTGCTGTGTATCATGATTCTTCATTGCTAATAGAATAATAATATGATGTTTTGTTTTATTTAATACAGGGTTTGGAAGTAATTGAGGTGACAAATATGAAATTTTTCACAAAAGAAATGATGGCAGAACTCTACGCCATGAAAGGGTATTTCTTGCAGTGTCTCAACCGTTCAGATGAAGCAAACAAAGTGTTTTCTGCTGCGGTTCAGCTTCACGATTGCCTTGTTAATGCCTGGGCCCTCTGGGGCGAATACCTTGAGACCATTTTCACAAGGGACAGGTAGCCTTTACATTTTGATCCATCTAGAAGCCATAATTGATAAATAATTGTTTGTATACTTTATGTATTGTATTAGTCCGGGTGTTCTTGGAAGTTTACTAACTGACCAATGTTTCCCAAATTGTACAACACATTGTGACTAGTGCAGCATTATCTGATGGTCAGATTAGAGGGGTATAATTCAGAAGCAGTCGATGACTGAGGCATTTACATTAAAGATGCACATGCATTCATATACTACTCATACATATTTTATTCACTAATATGATAATTAATTAGATTTTAATAATAAAATTAATTAGTCACAAGTTATGTAATTAAAAAGTCTGTTATAATTTGTATTCGGTGAATAAATTACACTTAATTTGCAAAATAAGTCTGGCACACATAAAATAAAATTACATCATCAAAACAATGTGCTCAAAAGGTCATTAAATTAGTTTGAATAGTCACTGCTATGGTCTAATGCTGTTTTGGGGAAGCTAGAAAGTGCCAGTTCATTGTAAATTATTTGACATATTTCTAGCCAGAATACGGCGAATAGGTTGTTTTACCAGGAAATCTTGATATAAATCTTTTTATAACATTCCTTGTGTATTTATCGCCGTTTTGAAACACTTGTTCAACTCAACAACAACAAAATCTTCTTCTGTTAACACCATTCTGTTTTGATTGCACATAATTATTCCAGCACATCACGGCCATTCACTGCATATTGCTTCACAGTTGCCTGTAGAGCTAAATTTTTTGATAACATGAGATATTTTGTTTCACAGATTTGTTTCATGTACAAAGTGTAGTGAAACTTAGAAAACACCCTATACTATAGAGAAGAGATCAGCAGAAACATTCACGGAAAGACAGACATTGTGAAGATAATAATAAAAACGATGCTAATAAAGGATACAAATGTGTAATTTTGCTTGAATTTAGGATTAAGGGTGGATCCAGCAAGGAAGGACATTGATCCAGCAAGGAAGGACATGGATCCAGCAAGGAAGAACATGAATCCAGGGAGGAAGGACATAGATCCAGCAAGAAAGGACATGGATCCAGCAAGGAAAGACATGGATCCAGCAAAAAATGACATGGATCCAGCAAGGAAGGACGTGGATCCAGCAAGGAAGGACGTGGATCCAGCAAGGAAGGACGTGGATCTAGCAATGAAGGACGTGGATCCAGCAAGGAAGGAGATTGATCCAGCAAGGAAGGATGTGGATCCAGCAAGGAAGGACATGGATCCAGCAAGGAAGGACATGGATCCAGCAAGGAAGGACATGGATCCAGCAAGGAAGGACATGGATCCAGCGAGGAAGGACATAGATCCAGCAAGAAAGGACATGGATCCAGCAAGGAAGGACGTGGATCCAGCAAGGAAGGACGTGGATCCAGCAAGGAAGGACGTGGATCTAGCAATGAAGGACGTGGATCCAGCAAGGAAGGAGATTGATCCAGCAAGGAAGGATGTGGATCCAGCAAGGAAGGACATGGATCCAG